TATACGTCTTATTTCAAACTCGCGTATTATATTATTCTTCCACTATGGGAGTCGTTCTTCCTATATTTTGTGTATACGAACATAGTTCGGTATTGACGCATGACTCCACACGCTGTTGCAGACACTTCGTGATACTTTCAGTAGACGAAAAGTAAGGAGTTGACGGGGGTGTAGGAGCTCCATGGTGGCTAGCTCACTGTTAGTGCCAATCTGGTGAAACAAATCCTAATACTCTATTTTGAAACTTTCGTAATTTTCGTTTTGAAATGGTTGTTATTTTAAAAAAGGTCTAATTTTAAATAAGTCAATTTAATAAATTTCACGTGAGCATATTTTATTCATTGGTTTCCTCAAGTCCGAGTGGAGTGGAGTGGAGTGGAGTGGAGTGGAGTGGAGTGGAGTGGATGATGCTTCCGTCAGCTTCATGTTGCAGACATGTGCAGCAAGCCACGGCATTTTCCTTTTCTGTGCGCCAAGACTCAGACATCAGTCCTTAAGGAACAGCACCGGTGTACGTTATCGGCATGAGTGAAGATCTGACGTCATGTCGTCAACTAGAAATGTGATAAGACGCAGATACGTGCTACTTCGGTGTGCGGACTCTAGTCTGAATCACGAATGAAGCAAGACTGCGTCTTTTGTCTCACGTCTTGGAACTTGTCTTGACGCAGCTGTTGTGCGGCCGCCCTAAGACCTACAGGCCACAAGTTCTTTCATCGCCACAAGAATATACTCTGAAATGATCCCACATGAAGACAGCCACAAGACCTCTCCTACGGACAATAGAACAGTGAGTACTATGACAGGGTTAAGAGATGATGGATCTGAGTTCAATTCCTTGCAAGGGTATGGATTCTTCACTCTCCTACCACGCACTCTGGGATGTAGAACCAAATGCAGGGGACGTGAACTTGATGTCTAGAGCCGGTGCTAAGACTTAGCGGGTCTATACCTCCACTCCCCCCTTATACCTTCATGTTGTAATGCGTATTTAAGGGAAGGGTCGACTTCACGTTTAGATTATTGAATCTGTCGAAAGCAAGTGTGACCTTGTGAGTGCTTCAAAACTTGTTTGGAACGCCACAAAACTGCCCGACACATATTCAAGGCACGTATCATGGTCAGAAAAATGCATTGCTACGCGACATGAAGTTATGGCGTGCGTGCCACAGTTTGATTCAGAATATGTTTGCAGATCAATGCGAGAAGAGCACGCCAGCTTCTGCTCTGTGTTGGTGATATTCATTAGGTGGACAAAAACACAAATATCATAAAGAAGAAAACATAAGCCATGTAAGGACGCTGGTATGGAAGTAAATACAAAGAGGATATACAGAGATATTCATAAGTCCTTCTAGAAACACCAACAGTAATTTAGAATCGCTCTATAGAACCTTATACATGGCTACAAGAATACAGTGATTCTAAATTATTGTCAGGTTTACCGGAGAGACTTATGAATTATCCTGTATCGTATTGCCACATGAATACGGGATAATACATATATTATAACATACTGTGATACGTAGACCTGTTGCTAGGCAACGACAAGGAAATAAGAAGCTATACAACAGCCGTTATTAGGTAACGTGCCCAAGAGATTCGCAACAATGGAGTAACTGGGAAGCGGTGTTCACTAAGCAGTCCGTGCGACACCTGGGTGATGAAACGATAGAACTATTGGGAGAGGTGTTTTCTATGTGATCCTTGTTGAGGTATTATAAGCAGGGCAAGTCTAGAGTTTAGGAAGTTGGCACAGTCGCTGGCCAGTACGGTGTTGGGAGCCGTTACCAAGCGACAAGCTGTGAAGACTCAGTGCGTGCTGCAGTGAGGTGTAGAGTGTATGAATTAGCGATAGCATTATAGTTACTTCTAGTTACGATCTGTAAGAGTTCAATAAATACCATTACTAATCCAAACCCCTGGAACTTCGGAAGAACATTAACAAATAAAGATTAGCCAGAAATGTTTGTTGCGTCTCCGTTGAGATAAGCTCAGTAGGCATAGCGATGAGCTACAGGCTGGATGACCGGGATTGAATTCCTGGAAGGCGGAAGAGAATTTTCTCCACTTCACAGCGTCTAGACCGGCTCTGGGGCCCTCCCAATCTCCTATGAACGAATTAATGTATAAGGGGTGGGCCTTCTTGGCCCGTGCACCGCGACCACAGTGATCTGTCGTGCCTCCCTTTCCGATTATCCCCTCAACAATCCTGCATTTCGAATGAAGCGTAGGATTTTGTACGTGGGGACGTCAAAATAGTCACTTGGTTCCATAAAATATTGACCAAATTGACGCAATCTTAAATAAGCTAAGGCCTCACATTCGCACAGGATGTGTGTGGCTGTTTCAGTTTCTACTTGGCACCTCTCACAAGTGGGACTATTACTTAGTCGCAGTTTGAACAGGTGTCCTTTGAGGTGACAGTGTCCTGTAAGTCCACCCATCGTAGCTCGTTCCTGTTTAACTTCAACAGTTCTTTCGCTCTTTTAGTAGAAGGTTCTCGTATGAGTCCCTTTGCTTGCCTGAGTCCAGTTAAGGATCCCCAGTATTTCTTGTGTTTCACATTTGTCCAGTCCCTGATTGCCTTTCTGGCAACTCCTATAGAGATGCCACAGGCTGGTTCAGGCCCTATGAACGGATTTTCAGCTCGAATCTTAGCTAATTGGCCTACTGTTTCCTTTTGAGCAATATCCTCATGCCCCGGCACCCATATCAGTTGTGCCCTGTTATGTTTGGCCAGTTCCATGAGAATTTGGTGGCAATCCCAGACCAATTTTGAGTTGATCTGGTGTTTGCCAAGCGCTTTAAGTGCAGCTTGGCTGTCAGATAGAATGTAGATGTTCCTATTTCTATAGTTCCTACATAAATTCTCCATAATACATGCCTTAATGGCATATACTTCTGCCTGGAATACTGTCGTGTACCCCCCAAGGCGGAAACTAAGTTTCCGCCTCGTGCCATGGCAGTACACACCAGCTCCAGTGCCTCTATGTGTCTTGGAACCATCTGTATACCAGATCAGTCTCCTTTTCTATCGGGCCGAAACCCGTCTTCCCATTGACTCCTGTCAGGAAATCTGACTGTGAATGGTTTTTCATATACATGTCTCAGTATCATTTTGTCAGACCCCATTTGTAATATGGGTTCTTTTTTCATGTCTTGAGTTATGTATGCATGGCCGAAACCAACGGATCTACGTTTCTATTGTTCACTGCACTGGAGACGGTAGATTCCTGCCCTGGCCTCTGCCTCCAACTACGTATGCAGTGGGGGGAGTCCAAGGAGTGTCTCCAGTGCAGCTTTTGGAGATGTTCGAATTGCTCCTGTGATACCCAAGCAAGCCAACCTTTGCATTTTGCTAAGTTCTGCCTTGCTTGTCTTGAATTTAACTGTGGGCCACGATACTGCTGCACCGTATGTAATTGTGGGTCTCACAACTGCAGTGTATATCCAATGCACAACGTGCGGCTGCAGTCCCCAAGTTTTACCAGACATGCTTCTGCATGTCCAGAAAGCCTTATAGGCTTTATTAATGACCTTGTCCAGCTGCTTTTTCCATGTCAGTCCCTTGTCTAATACTAGACCAAGGTACTTGACATTGCTGGAGAGCTGGAGCGTCTTATTGAAGAGGGTCAGTTCCTTATGGCCCTTTATATTTCTCTTCCAGGTAAACGGTATACTTACGGTCTTATTCGGACTGGTCGAAAGGCTTGTTCTTTCACACCATCGTAGGACCGTGTATAGAGCTGACTCAGTCTCCTATCCAGTGGGTACGGGGTTTAGAACAAAGTATTGAGAAGGTGTTTAGAACCAACAAAGTGAATGTAAGGGGGAGGAGGGAGCCGCATAATTTGTACATTTCGTGAAACGGGATATGTTTCGAAGATTGAGAGGCATGAGAAACGCACACAAAATGTTAGTGGAAAATGTTGGTCACAGAACCCAAATTAAAGAAATTATATGAGGGGGACATACGCATATTTTGTAGCAAAATATTAAAATTCTGTGTTGGATTTGAGGTTTTCGCAGCGTCGTCTAGGAAGAGTTCTATGTCATCTCGTAATTGGGAGAAAGTTAATAGATGTTTCGAAGGAACATATGGCCTCCAATTTCTCGGCCGAGGGGTGTGTGAAGCAATAAACTTCAAATGGATAATGCATGCTAATTCGAAATGTCGTTTGATTTTCATCGGACTACAAGGTGTTTAACCCCAAACGATAAAAATTTTCGTCATTGACGCTGATTTTTATGTGTGCGTGTGAGAATTTACATTGTACTCAGCTGTCTCAGGACAAGATGTTGTGATCCTTTCATGTTCCACATAAGGCGGAAAGTCACTTGGAAAATGAGAGCGAAGATCCTCTCCTCCAGGACTCAGCTGACCTGAGTCACATGTAATACGAGGGAAAGTCAGTAAAGACCTTACAAATGCAAATGAAACAGCTGTAGTGGACGTAATAGGTTTCCTATGTGTTATGTAGTAGCACAGCCTAGCTTCATGACAGTCTAGGTAGCAGACGCGCATTTTCATGTTCAGAGGCTGGTTTCAGTAGTCAAAATGGCGACCGTGTTTCAGTAGTCTACTACCGAAAAGCAGCGTTCTGTTGTGTGTATTTAGTGGACAAAAGGACCAAAAGCAAAGGATATTTATAAAGAAATATTTCCTGTTTCCTGTGGAAAGTGTTTGTCACGTAAAGCAGTTCGCAATTGGGTCAATAAATTTTCTAAAAGACATTCGAAAGTCGCAGATGATGCCCGACCATTTGCAGAAGTGACTGTGAGAGCAGTTAAATACTTCTATGCTGCGGGTTTCGACGCACTGCTAAAGCGACGGAACAAATGTATCAATGTTGGGGGAAAATGCTTCGACAAATGAATTATTTTTCTTCAGGTTCAAATATCATTTTCCTCTTTGTTTTATATTCATTTGTGACCTATCCGCTGACTCTCCCTCATAAAGTACACGACACCAATAGGCGCGTATATCTGCCGCAGGTATGGTAAGCAAATTCCGTGAAGGGCTTGACATGGCGGGGAAGTTCCTAGGGCTGAATACGGCTCAGGGGGTGGCACACCTAGTGAGCTCCAGTCTGCTGAAAGCACGTCCCCAGTGGCTCCGAGAAGGATCGGACATCAGCCTTCAACATGGGCTCTTCTCTGGTTTCTTCCGGCTGCTGGGATTAGACCCAACTAAGCTGGGAGCTATCGCCCTCAATGCAATAATCTTCATTGCGCAACTCGTGAGTATGAGACAAGAACCTATGCAGCACACTTCTCTTCATTGTGCAACTCGTGAGTATGAGACAAGGACCTATGCAGCACACTTCTCTTCATTGTGCAACTCGTAAGTATGAGACAAGGACCTATGCAGCACACTTCTCTTCACTCTGCAACTCGTGAGTATGAGACAAGAACCTATGCAGCACACTTCTCTTCATTGTGCAACTCGTAAGTATGAGACAAGGACCTATGCAGCACACTTCTCTTCATTGTGCAACTCGTAAGTATGAGACAAGGACCTATGCAGCACACTTCTCTTCACTCTGCAACTCGTGAGTATGAGACAAGAACCTATGCAGCACACTTCTCTTCATTGTGCAACTCGTAAGTATGAGACAAGAACCTATGCAGCACACTTCTCTTCATTGTGCAACTCGTAAGTATGAGACAAGGACCTATGCAGCACACTTCTCTTCATTGTGCAACTCGTAAGTATGAGACAAGGACCTATGCAGCACACTTCTCTTCACTCTGCAACTCGTGAGTATGAGACAAGAACCTATGCAGCACACTTCTCTTCATTGTGCAACTCGTAAGTATGAGACAAGAACCTATGCAGCACACTTCTCTTCATTGTGCAACTCGTAAGTATGAGACAAGGACCTATGCAGCACACTTCTCTTCATTGTGCAACTCGTAAGTATGAGACAAGGACCTATGCAGCACACTTCTCTTCACTCTGCAACTCGTGAGTATGAGACAAGAACCTATGCAGCACACTTCTCTTCATTGTGCAACTCGTAAGTATGAGACAAGGACCTATGCAGAACACGTCACTTCATTGTGCAACTCGTAAGTATGAGACAAGGACCTATGCAGCATACTTCTCTTCACTCCGCAACTCGTGAGTATGAGACAAGGACCTATGCAGCACACTTCCCTTCATTGTGCAACTCGTGAGTGTGAGACAAGGGCCTATGTAGCACACGTCTCTTCACTCTGCAACTCGTGAGTATGAGACAAGGACCTATGCAGCACACTTCCCTTCATTGTGCAACTCGTGAGTGTGAGACAAGGGCCTATGTAGCACACTTCCTTTCGAACCTTTAGAAAGACATCACGGTTCAGAATTGCAGATTTTCCTAAGTATAAATAATGCAACTAAGACATCGTGTTAAGAGACAACAGAATTTCATTAGTGAGTTACTGGATTATACTTTCGACCGGGCTACTGAGTACTGAAACTGGAGTCTCTATTGGAAATTATGGGATCACATGTTACAACAGGACGTGGCACACCTTCTAAATCCTTATCCATTTAGTTTATACATTATGTTCCCATGTCATTCGACACTATATAATTTCGAAGTTTAATCGGAATTGTTAAAGTACCGAAGAACCAATTAATTATCTTTGTGCCAGCCTGTTTCACTGCTTCATTCTCTGAAAATACAGTAATGGTTTGTAAGTGTACTAACGTAATGCCACGATTTTAGTGACCATAGACGGGGTTTGGATTTGTATTCGGATTTATTGAACCCTTACAACTAGTAACTGCAAGAAAGCTTTAAGCTCACTCCGTTCTATAAAGTTCACAAGTCACTATAGGTCACATAGGTCTTCCCAGTCTGTTACAGACTTCACTAGCCGTTTCTTAGTAGCGGCTTTCAACGGCGGGCTTTACCTTTCCTATGGGTTCCCTAATTGTCCCCGTTCCTCGGCTACCTGCTTCTAACAGCAACATTGCACAAGGACAACGAAGAAATCACCGCTCCTCAATGCTGTATTTCAATTATTACCTAGCGGAGCACACAGAAAACATCAGTCCTCTGTTGTTGCTTGCAGGCTACTGCCTAGCAACGGCCGATGTACAGTCGCTTACCTTGTGGTCGACGCCTTGCAACGGGTCAACATGCCACAATATATTTAAATGAATGACTCAATACCACAAGGAAGAACAACATTTAAGATATTTTAGTTCTAATTTTGAATTCTAGTTCAATATTTTAATTAATAATTAGCATCGCGTTCACACGCGACATGTGATGTTAACATACAGTGGAACAGTTTTGGCATGATAGAAGTGCATCTGATGATGGTCTTGTACTGCTGAAACATGCAGTGATACAGAAGTCGGATAAGACAATTAAGTTGTTTTTGAGATGATACAAAGTACAAGCGTTACCGAGTACAGAGTACAAGTAATGTTTCTGCTTCTGGTTGTGCAGATCAGCAGCTCCTTGGTTGAGCAACCACTCCAGAAGGACTCAGCGCGCTCTGCTTACAGCACAGAACGCGAGGACTCCCCGGTCCGATGGCTGCTGGACAACCCCACAGTACAAGTGCGTACACAGCTTAAAACTTGAGTCGTAAGTTAAATAAGTAAAGTTGTCCTTGCACTTAATTAAGCACTACGTCATGAAGTTATATGGGGAAGAAATATTCACATTTTCTGGACCTCGGCACTAGTTGGAGGCGAGTGGTCAGCTTTACACTCCGGTCGCTTTATCCCCGGGGAAAAAGTCCACGATATCCATTGGATAGAAGACTATGTAGGTCCCATGACGGTCTGGACGACGTGGAGAAGTAAAAATTCTTACCCCCAGCTGGACTCGAACTTCGACTCCTTGGTCATCCAGCCCCTAGCCAGTCGCTATACCATCTACGCTATCCCGGCTTCCAAGGTAAGGCTATCCCTGTAACAGACAGTAGAGACCCATAGGGTTGTGAAACGCCCAGTCTTTCACATTTTCTAGACAGTCGGATCACAGATGACAGTGAAGTTGTCATCCTAACGCGCCGGCCACCCTTTACCCCCAGAAATATTCCTAGTACTCATTTCTGTTAGGTGCTGAGTCGACCCCAGGGCCATAGTGTGGCTGGAAAGATTAGGCCAATTGAAAATTTCAAGGACATCATCGAGAATCCAACCCGCGACCTCCCAGCTTGTAGCATAATGCCTCGACTAACGACGCTATCGCGTGGGCCTGTTACATAAAAGTTGTATTTCTGAACAAAAAATTTCAAAATCAGGAACGAAGTTATGATAATATCATGCCCACATCAAATGTTCGACAAATTCCTGTCTTGGAATTATAGTTGAAATTTGATCGAAGAGCTAGAGCGACTTCTAGTAGGTGAGTTGTATGAAAATTGGTGTAAGGTAAAAGGTATAATACAATTTGTCTCGCTTCTTAATGACATATTATGTCATAAATGCATATTGAGGATTGGAGGTATACTTCCACCAATTTTGACCTAACACTAGTAGCAGTTCAGTGGTCAGCTTCACGCTCCGACCCCTTTAATCCCGGCGAAAGAGCCCATGATATCCATTGGATAGGAGGCAGGGTGGGCTCCAAAGCCGGTCTGGACGCTGTGAAAAATCCCTTGTTTCCACTAAGTCCTACACTGTACTGCTTGGGTTAACCCACTTCCACAAGAACATAGATTTAAGCAATTTAAACGTCATTTAAAGTGGGCAGGCGATGTACAGACTCGCCGTAAGGAACAGGGAAAGTGAACTACTTCGTAGATTCATCGGCTCTGCTTACTGCATCAGAACTCATCAGTTAGCAGTACCACTTCACCACCCTCCTACAAACAGCAGAAAGTAAAATGACTGAAAAATATTGTTAAGTGTTTGGAGTAGGTACTTCCATGGTAACGCAGTAACAGTGAGCCGTTGCGTAGACAACGCCGAAACGACGAACGAATCTCCCCGGAGATGAACAACCAAAGACGCGTTGCTTAACAGCGGACTGTCGAAATAGTAGTAACGGAGCCGTGAGGACTGATGTCTGGTATCCGGTCCGCATAACGGCTACATAAGCAGAAGAAAAGACAGTCTTGGGATAACCGTGATGGAGTTGGGATAACCGTGATAGAGTTGGGATAACCGTGATAGAGTTGGGATAACCGTGATAGAGTTGGGATAACCGTGATCGAGTTGGGATAACCGTGATAGAGTTGGGACAACCGTGATCGAGTTGAGATGTCGCATTGGAGTATTGAGCCGGAAGTCTGATACTGCAAGCGATAATAATTGTAAGGTGTGTAAGAGTGAGCGTCCAATAAAGATTCGCTAAATCCGAGACCCACGTAAAGTTATTTGTCGCGTGACATATCCAACACGTGACAATATTCTCTTCTGGAAAGTGACGTGTAGTCTGATAGACGTTTACTGACGTTTCGGAGAAATGTGCTGCATCCATCCTCAGGATTGCAGAATCAGATATTCAAGCATGGAGTAAACAGAGTAGATTTCTATCAGACTACACGGCGTCACATCCGAGTAGATAGTACTCTTCATGAGCACTGCTGCGGGAACCTCAAACCTCACAAAGATGACTGGCATTGGCTTTCATTGATGATAACAGAACCGCCTTATATGTAGGCAACATATCGTGTCGCACAGTTCACCGGTACACAGACAGGCGCAGAGAGGAGGAACAGCGGTATCACCGGTAACTGCCAAGAGATGGCATCACTCTGCAAGAGTGACCGTTTTGCAACTATGTTATTGTTATTGTTGATTAGGACGGTAATAATAATAATAATAATAATAATAATAATAATAATAATAATAATGATAATAATGCAGAAAAGGGACATAGCTAAATATATAAAGCATACAAAAGAACCGTATCAAAATAAAAATTTGTAGAAGAAGAGGTTCTGGGAAGAATGCATTGCGACTATCTCTTTTGAAACACAACTCCCTGTAGCGAGGCAAATAGGCATAAGAAATTAACAATTGACCTAATCCTCCCAGCCGCACTATGGCCCTGAGACCGACTCAGCCTCTAACAGAAATGAGTACCTGGGGGTTAGAGGGCGGCCAGCGCGTAAGGCTGACAAATTTACTGCTCTCTGTTGTCCGTTTGCCTAGAAAATGTGGGAGCCTCGACGTCTCACAACCCAATGGGCCTCAACGACCTTTTACAGGGATACCTTCACCGTTTTTACAGAATCTCTATACATTTAATTTGCCCTAGATTATCTCAAAAATCACGAGCACGGCTACTGTGACTAACAAGCTGGAAACTGAGCACATCTTCTTCCTCGGCCGCCATGTTGCTCTTCTGTGTTCTGCATAAAAGTTCCTCAATGACATTTACGCACAGAATAGTGCACGAATATGGACCCCCACCATAGTGTTCACGTATGCTTCTATAATACTACGAACATATTGTGACATGTTGAGCTATGGATGACGCCCCCCCCCC